TGGACGGAGACGTTGGGTGGGTGACAGCTGCAGGCGACAGGAAGACTTTTATTCTGAAGGACGTGGTTACCGGAAGTAGTAGTTTGTTGTCGTTACCGGAGCGTGTGTGTGTCCTCCGGTGAAATAACCGGTAAACTGTATTATAAACAGCGTAGACAGTGTGCGCGCGACATTAAACGGGTGAGAGCAGCTTCGCAGCAGCCGTGTGGCGGGAAACGGACGCTGTTACAGGTGTGGAGCGGCGCTTCCGTCACAGTCACGGAAGTTGTCGGCTAACGTTGCTAGCTGCTGCGGTTAGCTGGGCTGACAGGATTAGCTCCGGGGCTGAGGACACCGGCGGGGGGCTCGATGGCAGCGAGGAGGAGCGAGCCCGGGGAGCCGTGAAGGTGAGTCTTGTCACCCGGCCTGCCTGCTCACAGCCGCACGTCTGCCACGTCAGAGGACTGCGTCACCTGTACAGGTGAACAGGGACGTGTTCAGAGCGCAGACACGAGTAACGGGACCGAACTACGTAATGTTTCTGTGCTGTGGGTGAATTTCTCTGCAGATCAGCAACAAACAGTTTTAAAATGTTCTCCGTGACCGACCTGTGCAGGTGACCTTTAACCCCCCGCTCGTCAGCACAGACACAGCTCAAAGTGCAGTGAGAACATTTACATGTGTCGATGACCTGACCTGATGCCTGGTTTAAACATGGTGAATATTCAGTTTCCAGTAAACTGCAGTGCACGGTGTGATCCAGAGCAGCTGGCGGATTATCCCCATAACCTCCCGGCGAGGACGCACCAAACGTGCACATCAGCAGAGGCTGTGCAGGCTCAGAGGCTCATGTGTTTGAGGTGTCAGCGAACAAACAGCAGAAACCGCAGATAGCTCTTAAATGTTCAACCTCGGTGACATCACCACAGCGGGAAAGCTCCTGGTGTGTTTACCTGTTTATGGCTCCACCCCCCAGGATGCTCCAGGGGCCGTACAGCAGCCTGGACCGGGACCGGCTCCTCATCCGGCTGCCGTTCAAAAGCTTCGCCGTGGGGACGGTTCTGCTGCCGGTGACCGGCTTCATCGCCTGCATCTTCATCTCCCTCTGGTACCACTACGAGGACGCGACGTACACGCACTGTAAGGTGAGTGCTGATGGCGAAGGACACGTCAGCAGGAAGCTGCTGATTTATTGAAACCACAGCCAGCTGACGAGTCAAAATGTGCATTTCAGGCTCGCGCTGAACGTCTGGGTAAAGCATTACCTGGTGGCGGTGCGGTGATGACGCTCCCACGCCACACCTCAGCCTCAGGTGTCATCAGGACCCGCCCACCTGATTCACCTGAAGTCATTTTTCTTCCAGGTGTCCAACTACCTCCCGTCCATCAGCTCCGCCATCAGCGGTGTGCCGGAGCGCTACATCTGGCGCGGCTGCATCGGGCTCCACTCGGCGCCGCGGTACCTGGTGGCCTTCGCCTACTTCAGCTTCTACCGCAGCCGCTTCGCCAACAGGCTGCGGGAGCTGCTGCTGAGCGGGCTGGCGCTCCTCTGCAGCCTCGCCGAGAACACCGGCCTGGTGATGCTCACGTACGTGTCGTCCACGGAAACCTACAGTGAGTACGGCGCGGTCAGCTGACCCAGGTCCTCCAATCAGGAGTTAGCCCTTCAGACGTGCTGACGGCCGTTTGTCTCCACAGGTGTTCATAAGTACGGGTTCCTCACGTTCATAGGGAGCTCGCTGGTGCACATGCTCACTACGTGCTGGCTGTGGTACGTCATCAAGAGACACTACGTGAGCCCAGAGGTAACCCGCCCTGTCAGCGTGCTGTGCGACCACAAACTTCAGTCGTTTGTCTCGTTTAGTCGTAACAGATGAGCTTTAGTCCGCGCGGTTTCTCAGGCTCAGTGTTCGTTTCCTTTACCAGCTGTTTGGGGGAAACGTAATGAATTAGTTTAAAATGCCTTCAAAGCTTTCTGTAGACAAACTGCTCGATCAGTCGGTCGCGGCGAGTTCAGAGTCCTGATGTTACAAAGCTCTGTGAGAGGATCAGTCTGTAAATGTTTATGGGGTTTGTTCAGGTCTTTGAAGAGTTCTTGTGGTACTCGAAGGCATCATGAGGGTTCCCATCGCGCTGCGAGCGTCCTCGTCCACGTCTGTGGAGGATTTCAGATCCTGACGGTGGTTCATGTTGTTCCTGTTGGGGTTCAGGTGACGCCGGGGCAGGTTTGTTTCTTCCAGGCATGATTGAGGGACTCGAACACTTCTGAGTCCTTGAGGAGGATTTTGGATTACTAGTAGGTCCTTCTGGTACTTTGTCATTATGGTGGTTAAGTGAATTTCTGAGGAGGATCGCATGATTCTGGTGGAAGTTGTTGAGGACGAAGGATCAGGTTCTGTCTCTGTTTGAGGTGGTCAGGTGGTTCAGGAGGTGGTTTTGGTGCTGCTGGTGAGGCTCCACATGTACCTCAGAGCATTCCTGTTGTTGTTTCGAGGAGGATGTAAGGATACGCCCGTAGGCTCTGTGAGAACGTGATGTAGCTCTAGAAACACTAACACATGCCAGCTGTGGGCGTGGAGCTCTTTCAGGAGTGTTTGCTCCTCCGTTCTGAGGTTCTGTGCAGGTGTGGAGGCCTTCTTTGTTCCAGGAGTCCTAGAAGAAGATCTGGGGTTGGTCCTGTCAGCACCTGAGGCAGTTCTAGGAGTGAGTCCTCCTGGAGCCAGTCCCGACTTTAGTGAACCTGCTGAGATGTGCTTGTAAGGCTTATTATGGTCTGCAGAACCTTCTAGCATTGCTTCTGTTTTGGTCGCCCGTGTTGGTGACCTCGTGTGCATGAAGGGCTTTGTAGCGTCTTGTTGCCTGTTGGTGCTCAGGGAGAGTTTTGGGATACTTGGTGGGTTCCTTCGGTTCTCGCGGTGGTTCTGTGGTTCCTCGGGAGCTTCTGCAGGACAGTTTGGTGTCAGACAGTAACGTCCACCTCTGGTCACATGGAGCCAGTTTGCCTCTTTGTCTTTCATTTCTTTGGTAGTTTTCCATAAATCTGATGTTGATTTTGCTCTCTGTCCGTCTCAGGAAGTGACATCATATCGCTGGAAGCTGCGTCTCTTCCTGTTCAACATCAGCTGCTGTGTGATCGCCGCCTACTTCTTCAGACGCCACAACAAATACTGTGAAGCAGGAAGTAAGTGCCGCTCTGCTCTGTGCTGTCTGTGCTGCTGCTCTCTGTGTCTCACGCCGTCTCCGTGTCTCACGCCGTCTCCGTGTCTCACGCCGTCTCCGTGTCTCACGCCGTCTCCGTCTCTCCTCCAGTCTACTCCCTGTTCGCCGCCTTCGAGTACCTGGTGGTCTTCTCCAACATGGCCTTCCACATGACGGCCTTCTGGGACTTCGGGAGCAAAGAGGTGACCGTGGCCACGCCGCCGGAGGACAAACGATACTGAGCAGGAGGGGGCGGGGCGTTTCTACCATTTCTGAACTTAAGCGCAGAGAGAGAAGTCTGATGACATCATTCCAACGACACCCTGACCTTCAGACGGCGTGATGGAGACGTGGACCAGAGTTCGTCTTCTGTTGTTGTTTCTCTAGTGCGCCTGTGTCTTTAAATTGTCAGAAATGATGCGTATTGATGATGTCATTGATGATCAGCCCGCTGTGATGATGTCACACTTGTTTGTTTACAGAAACAGCTGATCAGGGTTTTAATGGTTTTATTTCCACACAGATGAAAACCATCAGAGACAAAATAAATGTGATGATGATGATTTCATGGTGGTGTTCTTCATCCTCGTCGTCACCTGACGTGTTTAGTTTATAAAAACAAGAAAAGCTTTTCCAAAGTGGACGATGAATAAACGCTGAAGGAGAAAGTGTTGGAAATGTAAAGAAATAAAAATGAACCTTTGAGTAAAGAACAAAATGTTTTGACAGAAATCAGAGGCTGAGACGGTCTGAGCATGTGCAGAGGATGGAGGCGGAGCTGCCGGGCGGGGGGAGGTCCTCAGAGGAGGTTCATGGCTGCAGTATTTGTAGCTTAAACAATCCTGCAGCACACAGGAAATCGTTTTAGTTCCACAGGACGTGAAACGCTGCGCGCTGGTTGGAGGCTCACAGGCTTACATTAATGTTCGCTAACTACTGACAGAATCACTGAGAGGAAAACACTGACACAACCTCACTGACGTGTGTTTGTGTCATGATCAAAGTGCTTCCTGATGAGTCCAGGCTCCTGTGACTCTGACCCCTGGAAGGACAGAGGTCATCGCGCCACGTCACACTGGTTATAATACGTTCTGTCATAAATGGACACAGTGGAGTGGACAGCTCACCGCTGCAGCTCTGCAGTGAGCCTCTCACACTGTTTAGTTTCACTGTCCTTATTTTCCTCTGAGGTATCGATTCTGTCACGAGTTAGCCTGAGTCTGTTAGCCACAACCAACCAATCACATGTTCACGTTTGACAGATGGAGCCATGAACATGTTTTAAAGCTTTATGCACTGATTTGTTAAACCCAGCTTCACAGACAGTTACAGCTGTGTCAGTGTGGGACATTAGCCTTTGTGTTCAGCGTTTCACGTCCCCTTTAATATAGTAGATGTTTATTTAACCATAGTTGTTCCGTTCTCTAAATCATTTTAATCCAATCCCTAAAATATTCCCCAAAACCAAATTGTTGTAGAGTCTCAAATATATAAGACCAATCTGATCAAACGCTTTCTGGGCATCCAGAGAAAGTACTGCTGTTTTAGCCTCTTTTCCATAACCTGAGTAAATTGTATTTAATAATAAACGGACATTATTAAATGACCATCTACCAGGAATTAATCCTGTTTGATTAGGACGTATAATTGTTGAAACATGTTTGCTCAATCTTGTAGCTGAGGCTTTGGTTATGATTTTATGATCACAATTTAAAAGAGCTACGGGTCTATAATGTGCTGGGTCGCCTTCCTCCTCTCCAGTTTTGTGAAGCAAACAAATATTTGCCTCGTAAAGTGAGGTAACCTTTTATTTTTAGTCATTTACCATCCTAAGCATGAGAGGAGTAATTTTATTTTGGAAGGCTTTAAAGAATTCATTACCGAATCCATCGGGGCCAGCTGTCTGTGGTAAGGCTTGGATTGTTCCTAAAAGATGGTTTACAGAGACAGGGAATCGATTTCATCTCTCAGGGCTTCATCTGATGGGGAATAGATAATAGATCGAAGAAGTTGCTAAAATCGCTTTGAGAGGATTTAATTTTCCTAGAATACAGATCTTTATAGAATTTGGTAAAACAAGTATTAATTTCCTTTGGATTGGTTCTTACTTACGGATTTCATTATCACTTTTTGACTTGCTCGTTTTGCTTGTTACCCTCTAAGTTGATTTGCCAGCAGTTTCTCTGGTTTATCTCCAAATTCAAAATGTCTCTGTTTGAGCTTCAAGAGAAGATTGCTAATGCATTTATTTAAAATTGTATTATATTCATACCTTAATTTCAAATTTTCATTTAAATCAGTTTGCAACAAAGATGATCTATATACTTCTTCCAGTTCAGGAAGCTTGTTTCCTTTTTCCCAATATTTTTTGCTTGGAAGATTCAAAGGAAGTAATGTGACCTCTCATCACGACTTTAAGGTCTCCCATAAAGTAGAATCCGAAACTTCTCCGTTATCGTTAGTAGCAAGAAACATATCATATCCATATTCACATTGAGGTATTTAATAAATTCTTGATCATTCAGAAGGGAAGGATTAAACCGGAAATTAAAATTTTTGGTCAAGATGTTTTTAAAGACCATTGAAGCCGGGCTGTGATCAGACATTACAATATTATGGTCATTTGAATCAACAACTATGGGCAGCAGCTCCGAGGATATCAGAAAATAGTCAATTCTAGTATAAGTTTTATGGACATGAGAGGAAAATGAATAGGCCCTCTCAGTAGGATGTTGTAAGCACCAAATATCAAGTAAATCATTCAGAGTTTGTACTGACCTAATATTAGAGGGGCTTTTATAGATAGTCTATCCAAAAAAGTGTCGAGAAAGCAGCTAAAGTCACCAAAAGTCTGAACAAAATGAAAATTCTTCTTAAGGAGAAGCACAACCTCTGGCCTTGCTGGTAAAAGGAGCCTGATACACTTGAGATATCCAATTTGCTCTTAATCTTCGTTGGTTGTTAATATTTATATGAGTCTCCTGAAGGAATATTATATCTGCTTTGAGTGATTTAAGGTGTGAGAGAACTTTACGTCTTAATTATATGTCCGAGACATTTTACATTCCAAGAAACTATTTTTACATCGTTTCCCTCAAAGCTCACCTCAGTGTTTAACCCAAACATCATGTGTCAACTCGATCAGATATCGACTGCCATCCGCGTACACACACACACACACACACACACACACACACACA